TTTGGAATATAAATTTCTTCAATAATCTTCTCCTAGGAAAATGTTTTTCTATTTCTCAAGCAGTTGTTTTGTTTTTTGCTATTTTAAAATCATTTTTAATTTGCACAAAATTTCTCTTAATAATGATCAGGAAACATGGTTTATATAATTTTCCTTTTTGTTGTGAATTTTTGTAATGAATTTTAATAGCCTCATATATGAGTAATTACTATTCCAATTTCATGGATGTTTGAGAATAATTAACTAAAACTTGTTCCCTGTTAAGAAAACTCTGTAAATAGCAACACTGTTCAGTGGCCCCGTATTACTGCTTTTGCCACGTCTGTTTACCCAAGTCTGTGATGCCATTTTACAACTTCCTACTCCTAGTGTCATTTTTCTCTTTCTGCTGTTTTTTGTTATATATTTCAAAGCCATGTTATTTGATTCTTAAGATTTATGAGTTTTATATGTTCGTTGAGAATTGTGCCCTTTATCAAAATAAGATTTTAAAATCCCATTTAATGCACTTGATCTGGAATATGACTTTGTCATATATTACTGTTGCCTTGCCTACTTTAATTTATGCTTACGTTTCCTCTTAGATTCAATATTACTCCCTTAAAATGTTAGAGATAATTTAGGAGTGTTTCTCGTATATACAAGGCTGCTTTCAAAAATACCTCTTATACACAACAAGCATTAAAATGTTAAAAACAATAATCTGAATGTTTCTGTCATTTAATAAGATGGATTTAACCCATTTATACTTACAACGCATTTGGTTATAGCTGTCATCTGAGTGGAAGTTCATTTCTGTGCTTTGCTGCAGTCTTCCCTTTGTTTTCATGTGCAATGTGGACCATATTTTCTTTGCGATGTTTCCCTGACTCTTGAGTGTTTGCATTCTACCAGTGCTTCCTTTTTAGTTCTTAAATATAACATGGTTGAAGTTAATATTGTTTCACTAACAGTAACAGATAAGATTGAGTGTTCCTACATTACAATTAAGAAAAGTGACATATATGCATGTGTGTCTGTATAGGGGTATGTACACGTGAGTACATGCAGTTGCCCATGGCAGTAAGAAGACAGTGTCAGACCCATGAAATATTTTATGTGGGAGCTAGAATGGAACTTGCATCTTCTGCAATATCAGTACACCCTCTTAACCATGAAACCACCTCTCCAGACCTTGCTTTTATTTTTCATTTTATTTTAGGTCATTACTTTTTATACTCAGTACTAGGAATTGAGTTCAGGAAATCACAAATGCTAGACAAGTACTCTACCTCTGAGCTACCTCCTTAGGCAAGAATATAAAACATTAAAAAAACAACACAAAACCCACTTCACCCAGCCAGGTCTTGCACACCCTTCTCCAGGGTCTAGTTCAGTAACTGTAGTCCCTATAGCACATCAAAGAAACTTCTCTTTGCAACAGAGACCATTAAAAAGACCACAACCTATCAAACGGCAGTTGTGCAGTCAAGTTCCAAGGACACATCTACAATAAAACCACACCTACGGCCCAGGGATCACTGTGGGAAGAGGGACTGGGAAGATTGTAAAACCCAGAGAGGGTCAGAAAGTTTTCTGTAAGAATGTGTCTCCTAACAATCTCAGAAACTACTCCCCTAACATGACTGCCTAGGCATGGCCTGAACAAGAACAACAGTAGGAGGCACGCTCTTTCCCTCCACAGAAATCCCAGGAGACACCAACCATAAGGAAGAGTCACAAGCAACTAAGGAATGCTAAGAGCTGGAGAAATAGTCTTCCCTATGGGAGAGAACATCAATTGACTATCAGATAGCAACTTTTCATCCCTAAAAACATATACATAAGTATTATTATATAGAATGAACAGATTCTACTTAGGAAATCTTTCTATCTATCTATCTATCTATCTATCTATCTATCTATCTATCTATCTATCTATCCATCTATCTGCCCATAATGACAGTTAATGAAAAATAGGTCATGAATTTGTAGAAAGAGCAAGGATGGGTATATGGGAGGATTTGGAGGGAGGAAAGGGAACTGTGGGAAATTTTATAATTATATTAGAACTCAAAAGAAGAAATACTTTAAAAAAATCTTTTGTTTTGAGACAGAGTCTTGTTAAGTTCCCTAGGCTGGCCTTGAACTCTCTTTGTAGACCAGGCAGGCCTTGAAATCGTCAGCCTCCTACCTTAGTCTCAAAGTGCTGGGGTTATAAGCCTGTGCCATTTGGCAATAGATGTTTTCTCACTTATTTTTAAATTTCTGAAGTCTCTACATAGTGGAACATAAACACAGACATTGGGACCCAAGCACCTCCCTCTCATTTAGCCTTCCTGTTGTGATGCTTAATGATTTCTATTTTCAGGAATCAAACATTGCTGTGTGTGCACTGAAAAAGTTAATATTTTGTTTGAAATTATTCCTCTTTTGTGAATCTGATTTTGCATTCATTTCCTGTAAAAGTCATATGTATTATTTAGAAACTAGTTCTTCAATAGTTGTGCTGATTTAAAACTTCTTTAACTGGTCATGATCATAAACTTGACAGACACAGGGCTATTGGATTAAAATCCTTCCTACTATCAGTCTTAAACAGTGCTTCATTTCTTCCGTCATCCATTTCTACAGCAAGAAGCATAAGCCAAGAAATTTGTGTGTGCATGTAGGTACATGTATTATAGAATTATTTACATACATACTGACAGGTACCCACATTTAAACACACAGACTTTAAAAATAGACAATTACAGACCCAAGTTTTATTTTGTTCCAGGGAGGGCAGTGTTATCGGGTTTAGAATAAGAATCAAAAACATTAGACATGAGGCCAAGGTTTACCAATAATAAGCTTCGTCTATAGAAAAGAATGCAGGCAAGACAACTGGACAGAATGTATGGAGAGGACTTGGTTGAAGTCTTTGGACTCCTCCAGAACAGCTTCCTTTGATCCTTTCAGTACTTGTGATGGAACAGCATGGTCTGAGAAATGATGTTGAATATGTAGGTACTATGTCAGCCAGGGGAAGTCATGAGCCCTGGCACTTGAGTTTCTTGACCTCTGTTTTATGTGTGTTTGACCATGGAGAAAGAATATGACAAAATCTTGACAGTTTCTCAAAAAGGGAAGGACAAAATTGGGATACTTATTAAAGCTGTGAGGTCCAGTGTAAAGGCAGGTAGTTTAATATGGGGATGAGAGTGGGTATAGGTAAGGATTATGGCATGGTTGTTTTGGATTCATGGACTGTAAGGCAAGTAAGCTCTAAGGGGTGGGTGATTTTGTTTATCAGTTTCAAGGAGCCTGTGATTCCAGGTCAAATTTTCTTTTTCTTCATTTTCATCTCCTTCTTATCTTTGTTTGTCTCCTTTCCCCTTCCTTTCCCTTCTCTAATGCCTTTTCTCCCTTCTTTCCTCTTTCCTATTCCTCTTTTCTCCTCCTCCACTTCCTCCACAGATCTCTCAGATTTGTTTTATTTGTTTGTTTTTTGCCATGCAGCCTCCCTGTAGGCCAAGCTAGCCTTGAGCTCACTAGGCAGCCAAGGCTGGCCTCAAACTCAGCCTTCTTCCTCTTTGCCTCCTGAGTGTTGAGTTTTCAAATGTGAGCCTCGAGGCTCCATTTCAGGTAAATTTCCATATTCTCTTGAGCATAGAAGAAAATCTACAGAATTATGTGGTTCTCTTTGTTCCTCAGCACATTTTTTCCCCACAGGTCTTAAATATAAGTATTTCTTATATTTTTCCTTAAAGTTAATTTAGAACATTATTTTTCCTTAAAGTTAATTTAGAACATTATTTTTCCTTGTTTTTTTGTTATATTTATTTTCTGTTTCTGCTGTAGCAATTTGTCACAAACTTAGTGGTTTAAACAAGAATTAAAAAAATAAATTAGAGGTTTGACATAGATCTGTTTGGGCAAAGACCAGTGTATTAGAATGTGTCTCCTTTTGAAGCCTAAAGGGGTCATTTTTTTTTGCCTTCTTTAGCTTCTAGAAGCTTCCTGTGTGCCTTTGTTGATTGTGCAATTCTTTATCTTCCATGCTGGGATAGCAGGCTGAGTTTTCATTGGTTCTCAGCAGCCAGGAAAGAGTCTTTGCTTTTCATCACTTATACTTATATTGACCCAAAAAGGATAAGGCAGGATAGACTCCTGTCTCATGGAAATCCTCATCTTATATCCTCTGTGCCCATTTAAGATTAATTAGTCATATATTCTATAGGTGAGAGCATGTGTATTTGGGGGACATAATTCTGCCCATGTATAAACACTTTCTCTATACTACACCCTGCCACAATATATTCATAAATTAATCTTAAATATATAATCTTATATTTGCTACTGGTTTATCATACTTTCTAAAATTCACATCTGTTAGTCTGCACAAGAACGTGTGTGTGTGTGTGTGTGTGTGTGTGTGTGTGTGTGTGTGTGTGTGTGCATGCGCGCGCATGCAATTTACCTAGCAGGCATAAACATCAAGGGAAAAGGTAGGTTGTATCTTCTCTCTGTTCATACCTACCTGAAGTTGGCTTATGCTTGTCCACCAATCTCCTGTGCTGCAGTGGGGCTGTCTGTGCCCTGTCTGGTTTTTGAAGTCACTGTAACAAGATGAGAGTCACAAGGCATCTCTAGCATGTTTATAACTAGTCCCCTTGTTTTGGCTAGTAAGAATATCAGAAGCCTTAAAGGTTATTAACTAGGTGTCCTTGTTTCAATGGCTTTACCATCTTTTGTGTAATGTTGTACTTTCAACTAGCACTTAAATTTGGAAACATCTTAGGAAAATTCAGTTGTCATTGGTCAGTTTCCTGTTAACTTAGCATCACATAGGTAAGCTGTTTTTTTCTTTTCTTTCAAGATATTCATAGCTTTTCTATTAACGCCTGGACCTGCAATATTCTATGCTGCTGGGACCCATGTTTTCATGGTCTCCAGTGCTCTGGGTTTTCTCTGTCTTCACAGTAATCACACTGCAGTGATGGGAAGGACATTTTATGTCCTTGCTTTCTTACTTATAGTGCAACCTGCAAACAAATCTGTTATGCAGGTATGTACAGGAATGATGCTGTCTGTTTAGCCTCACTAACCTCCTAACTACAGCCTCTCATCATTCATTGCTCTGTATACATCAGACAGATTAGGTAAGCATAGGCACTTCTGAAAACTGCAAGATTTAGTGAATGTAAGATATTTTCATATTTGAGGTATTAGATAACTATTAATACTATGCATGCTTGCTTTGTTTCTGTTCTTTCTAGACTCACCTTCAAATTCTGGAGAGAAGCATTGATCCCAGGCAAGTCTACTTCCAACAAGATAGTCTCTGTCAGACTCTGGGAGGGAATCCATGTCCATTGGTGACTATCACTGCTTTTCCCGAATCTAACAGCACCAAGCATCTGGAACAGTTCCGTGAGTAGAAAGATGACTCTCTTGCAAATTTGCCTCTGAAGTCTTGGTAGCACATCTTCTGTTTCAGAACAGAAGCTGTATATATAAGACTGGGGACTTGTTTGTCTTGACAGAAATACATCACTGAGTCTTCTTGATATGACACAAAGGGTAAATGTTAATGCTATTCTGTTGTTAAAGAAAGGGGAAAATGAATTGCTAACTGTCAGGGTGAGGAAATGACCTGCTAGAATACAGAACAGATCACCAGTGATGGTGACTTCCTCTTTGAAAACAGAACCAGGCCCCTGAATCACATTTTCCAACCTCTAATCCAGGTTCTTCTTACACCATGCTCTTTGTTGTTCTGTGACCCTCTGTCACTCAGCATGACAAGGAAGGAAACAGAGTCCTGGCTGAGGAACTTTCTTGGTAACCTAAGTACCTGCATCTGAACTTCTGAGGATGTAAGAGGATATAGACAAACTGTGAAATCAAAGCAAAGCCAAATCAAGAGCACAGAAAAAATCACTGACATTATTTCACATGCGGATACTTACGCAGCCATGCAAACATATGGATGCACACAGACAGCCCCACATACAGGTCCACAATGCCCCTTTAATACTAGAGTCCTGGTTATAAGTGTCACTGACTTGTTACCAATGAACTTCAGACCTGACTGGGGCAAGAGAAACAAAAGAGAATGAGGAATGATTTGCAATGAAAAGAAATTTGGAAGATGAAAGAAAAGACTGGAGAATAAAAGCCAAGCTAATTTATCCCCAGAAAATACCATCTTACCTGATGAAGTGCTAATGGTGTTCAGGTGACTCTTGGGTAGATATAAAATGTAATTTCTCACATCCCATCAGCGTCTGACAAAGGATGCTTAACAACCTTCTAATCAACAACTGATTATCCCATCTGAATTAACAAGGCCCTAAAATACCTTAATGAATAGTAAGGGATTTTTTTAAAAAATTCTCTTATGTGTTTTATGCATTTAAGAGCAATTTCCTGGCAGCGACAGAGCCCTCCACTTGGCAGATGAGCACAGCATGGGCTGTGGAAATAGTAA